ACCCTCTTATCTCACGACGTGCACGGTAACCCCTATAGGTTCTCTGAATGAGGGTTGCAGCCTTTGCGCGGCTATCGTCACTGGGGCTTGAGCGCTGGCCAAATCCAAGTTTGGCGAGAAAGCTACGGCGATGCGAACGGCGACCATTTTCGTTGTCAGATGAAAGGGTAGCTGCAGGGGAAAGATCAAGACTCTGCCGATGAAGCTCGCGATTGCGACGCTTCTGTTCAGCTGCCCTTTCTGCTTGGATTTGGGCAATATGTTGGAACTCTTCCTTGGATGGAATTGGAAGTGAGTCTAGATATTCTTTATGGGTCGATGAAACAGAATGGGCGACTGAATGAGCTTTCGTGAGGGGTGGGACCCCTGGTGTGCCTGGCGTTCCTGGCGTCCCCGGCGTCCCTGGCGTTGGTGGTGGGGCTGTCAAAGCTGGTGTCGACGAGGACGTCGGCAGCACCACCTGCGCTGTCAGGGTCTCGACAGGGTCCATGGTAATCGATCGGAGTTTGAATTTGGGCTTGAGGGATTCTGACAGACGCCATGATGAGGAGAAAAAGAAACAAACGAGGTTGGAAGCATCACGTAAGATATATATCAGCTAGATAACAGGAAGGATGCGCAGCCGTGGCCCAGCAGCATCGGCAAAAGCGGCAACAAGATTCGAGCGCCAAGGGGACCCTCCAAGATATGAGAAAACAGCGGAATGTGGGGGAGCTGAACATGCAATTCTGCAATGGCGCATCCTCCCCTCACCCAGCTGCCTCTAAATTAAGCGGCCGACTTGCATCATTCGCGCCTGCTTGGTTGCCTCCAGCTCCGAGTATCTTTAAGTGGCTCTGTGATCACTCCATTATAAAGTTTCGAATTCGACATACGCGCCCGACAACTGCTGGGTCGACAACCAACCCGTCTAAAGAAAATTCCTGAGCGCTTGGAAACGGGCGAGACTGTTGACACCATGTCGACCGGACATATGACCTTGACCAACGGGACCGATCCAATGAATCGCCAGCGGCCTATTCCTGCAAGTAATACTCTCAGCATATAAGCTTGGCTGCCGGTCTTCCGGAGCGGAGCGGGTTACATCGGGATCCGGATTTCACACAACTTCCCGGCGTCCCAATTCCGTCACCGAAGAGAGGCCTCCGGTGTCGTCAATCAGACAACAACTTCACCCAGATCAGGAAATCATTGGTAGTTATCAGTCGGAATCCAAGACTTCCAAGATTGACACGTCAACATCACCGACTTGGCGCCTTCTCGGGCACCGAGCTCGAAATCATTGGAACCGCCGAGACAACGATGGCATCGAAAGAAAACGAAAATTGAATTTTAATTGGGGACAGCACCACGCACCCCATCTGCAGAAACCGTCACCCCTTCCCATTCCTTCACCAACTTCAGCGTCGTCTCACACTTGGTCCTCACAGTCTCCAAACAGTCACTTCCAAGAACCAACCTCATCGGTACCACGTCTTCGCCCTCAGCCATCTTCTCCCTCGTCAAGACATCAACAATAGCCGTAGCGCACTTCTTCACATCCCCAGGCTGCTGCCAGCTGTACGCATTCAGTGCATCCCGAGCACTAGCAGCAGCCGTGTTCTGATACACATCTAGCTGTCTGGCCGTCTTCATTCGATGATCTCCGCCATCCTGGGTGGTAGAAAGGAATCCAGTTCGAGTGTAGCCCGGTTCAACGCAGCAGACGCTGATGCCGAAGGGTTTGAGTTCCTCGTACAGGCCTTCGGTGAGGCCTGTTACGGCGAATTTGGTGCTGCAGTCTGTGTTTCTGCATTAGTGTGCGGGCAAGCTAGAAGATACATGAGAGATGTACTCACAGAGCGAAACGGCGGCACCACTCCGCCAACTTCCCAAACTGCCAAACGTGGCCAAAGCGGGCTTGTAACCATGTTCCGCTGCTTCCCTCAGATATGGAATCACAGCTCTTGCAAGGTTGACCGTGCCAAAGACGTTGGTGTTGAAGACGTCGTGGACTTCTTTCTGGGAGCTTTCTTCGACTGCTCCTTCGAGGATATATCCCGCGCAGTTTGCGACGTGAGTGATAGCGCCATAAATGGAGGCTGCTTCTTTGATGATGGCTGCGAGGTCTGCTTCGGGGGATGTGACATCCAAGGAGAGGACCGAAGCGCCAAGGGCTTCGAGGGAGGAGAGTTTAGAATGAGAGCGAGCGGTTGCGATTACGCGGTGCCCGCGGGAGAGGGCTTCCTGAGATATGGCATGGCCGAACCCTGAGGAGGCACCGGAAATGAGCCAGATGGGGGTGGTTGAGTTGTTGGTGGGGGTTGCCATTGTGGATACAGTGAGCGGGTGGGGATGGTGGGGGTCACACAGAAGAGATGTAAGTGGGTAAGGTGAGTTGAGTTGCGGTAGGGGTGATGCCTCGGATGATGATGCTAGAGTTGGGATTGTTTGACATTGACTTCCTTTCCTCTTTTATATCTGGACGATTGCCCGTTGTTCTTTTCAAAAGTCCGCTCGGTTAAGTCCGTTTGAATTCTTGATACCGAAAACGACGCGCTGGAGGGTATTAACGCCGATGGTTGTTGTGACGTCTTTCCACTGCGCGGTTTCAGGTTTCGGCTTGACATCGGTGATAACCACAGCCTTTTCGGAGATTGGGCTATCCCTCTTACCCCGCCCAAGTCTTCCATCCACCCCCGCTTTCATGATATCCATCAGGTTCACCCACCACCATCCTTCCAGTCAACCACATGATGATGGACACCAAAGACCTTCAGATTCTTCAGAGGCTCTACGAGAAGCGCCTCGAGACAAACGCGAGCCTCCGGGAAGTTGAGCTGGATCTTAGACGCACTCTGTTTGCTGCCCAGACATTTCTCTGGAAAGAGGAACACGATCACCATGAAGTACAACTCTGGCCCCCGCAGCAGGATCGACTATATCAACATCGCTACACCGATGAGTGGCAGGGCATGCACGAGTGGTATACGGCAAAGGGGCGCCACGATAGTTTGACACTACCCCGCCATCTAATAAAGGAGGAGGGCGAGGAACATCCCGCGCGGCAATCCTCATTTAAAAGACATTCTTCATTCAAAAAAGAGGTCCAGAGATTACGCGACATCAAACTGCGGTTTGAGACCGTAAACGAAGCTCTTCAGCGCAAGATTGATGAACTTTGGGGACCGTTTTCGAGCGGCGTCCAGCTATTGGATATGCCTGACGAACTCCTCATCAGCATATTTGAGTTTTGCTCCGAACGTGACATCCGATCCTGCCGCCTTGTCTGTCGGCGATTCTGCGACCTGAGCTCGCCGATGCTTCTTGCACGTGTCACTGTCATCCTTCAAGTCGACTCTCTTGCCCGTCTCGAGGAGATTTCACACCATCCCACCATCAGCAAGGGCGTCCGCACTGTCCGCATAGGCCTGCACTTTTACCACGGCCCACTCTGCCAGGATATAAATCATTTCGTCCAATTCTACGCTAATAAGTTGGAGCGACTCGCTGAGGAGTCAAGGCGAGATCGGCATAACAATGAGCACAGGGACAAGATGGCCGAGGCAATCGCAGCCTCCTGGCGTCGCTTTCTTGATGGAAGTCCCGCTGAGCAGTCTGGAGATTCTTTCCATCACGAGGCCCTTCGTGCGATGTACTGCGAGTATCGAAAGCGCTATGAACAGCAAGAGCTTCTAAAAACAAGTGGGCGGTTTGTACAAGCTGTTGCATCTGCCATGGCCAGGATGCCCCGCGCCCGAGATTTGGATTTTGGGGACGATTTCACTTTGGAGTCAACCATCGGCCATGACGATATTTTTGATGAAGGGGGCGATCCCTACATGGCCTATCACTGGATGCTACTGCCTTTGAAGGCGGAACAGGCCAGAAAAGACCAAATTGATACACCACTATTTGATATCATCCATCATGGGTTAGCTGCCATGGGGAGTGCCAGGGTTCAACCCGAATCTGTGGGCATATGTCTTTACTATGTGACAGATCTTGATCTGCTTGTCCCGCCCCTGGGGACTCGCGAGCACATTAGGCTGGCAACGCGATGCATGAAGCGTTTTGCATTCACTCATGTCCACTATTTCTTCCAAAGGGAGGCCTACGCAGTCAGCGAGCTCTTGAAAGCCTGCCTAGGCGCCCCTCTCCTCGAACGTCTACAGTTGACGATGCCAGGGAACAGAGTGGTCGGGGGCGATAGCATGGGTCACATGGGCCAAGTCATAACTTCGCACAAATGGCCAAAGTTGACGAGCACACATCTCTCGGGGGTCGGCATTAACTTGGTTGATCTCAGTTATCTTCTCAAAAACCTGCCACCGGAGCCCGATAGCCTGTGCTTGCAGTATGTGCATCTGGCCCAGGGTACCTGGGAAATGGTTTTGGACGAACTGCGCAACGCCGGCTTCAGCCATGCGAACGTTGTCGATCCATCAGGAGCCGAAGTGGACTGGCTGGGACCAAGAGAATACTGGGAGACATTTAGTTCAACTGATTATGACCAGCGTGGTAAGGCATGGGAATATATGCGCAGGGAGAAATGGACGACATCGAACCCATTGCGGGACCTTCGGGACCCTGGGGATGTAAATTTTCTGTAATGCAAATCGAACACGTAGGGAGGGCCTTGGCCATCGTCCTCTGACTCAATCGACGTAGAGACAGGTCAAGTTTCGGGGCCGTTTACCTGAATATCTTATAATATCTAGCATCTTGATGTTTATTAAGGTTTAAAAATGGTGCCCGCCATGGCAGCTATCTTTGGTGTTTAACAGGTGTGGAGACTCCGGCTTGACTGGTCCCTTTTTTATTTTTTATTTTTTTTATATTTTTTTTTTATTTTTATTTTTATTTTTATTTTTTTTATACACTTTACAACAGTCTGAAATCGCCCTCTCCTGTCAACTCGACGAATTGTGAATTTTAAAAAGAAATTAGCAAATGGACCAAACAAACAAACCCCCTTTTTTTACTGGGAGGTGTGCGTTCCCACCCAGGAACCCAAAAAACGATCCGCCCAGGGGTCGAACCTGGAACCTCCTGATATCACACTCGAGTCTCGAGATCGTAGTCAGACGCGCTGCCATTACGCCAGCGGACCTTGCTTTGAAGTTGTTGAAACTCCGGTTTGGAATTTCAGATTTACTTGGCTGGCCCGCTCGGTGTCTTCCATCCAATCACCCCTGTATCCTCTTCTTCAATCCCTCTTCCCTTTTCCTCTCCCAAGCCCCATAAGAACCGCCTTCAAGACCTGCCAGACAACCCCCAGAGTAAACCTCACTTTCCCAACCTCGTACTTTTGCGACCTGTCCCCAGTCTCAGTCAACATCGTCGCAAACTCGGCCACTGGGCCGGGAAATTTGTCTGTTTTGGCCCGCATATATGCTGCCACCAAATCGTTCCCGTTCGTGACGCCTCCTATTATCCATCCAACCCACCGTTAGTCAGGTTCTAATTTTTATTTTTTTTCACATGTCAAATAATGACTTACCACAACTCCAAAAGCTCCCATCGCTAACCCACCTCAGCTCATCCCCAACCCAATCCGCTCGCTGCCCCGCAAACTTCTTCTTCAGATCATCCTGCAACCCCCTTGGGCCGCAAACCCTTTTGCCTTGGATTATCCCCGCTGCCGCGCAGAGATATATCCCAGTACAGACGCTCAGAATATCCGTTCCGGCTTCGTGTGAAGAAGAATGCTGCGCCAACCAGTCCGTTACTTCCTTATCCCAGACTGCCGTGGGGTCCGGACCGGGAACGAGGATGATGTCCAATTTTCCCGGTTGAACTTCAGGCGATGAGAGGTGGTGCGTGATGAGAATGGAGGCTGAGGCCGTCAGGTTGAGGGTGGCGGAGGGCTGGGAGGTTGAGATGTCTATCGTTATTATTTCACGAGGTTAGTAAAACAAACGGCAATCAGGCAACATTGGGGTGTGAGGAAAAATGATTTACAGTAAATCTTGACGCTTGGCGCTTGGGAATAGACTGCTTCGGGGACTAGAGGAGAGAGGGCGGAAAGGTACTCATAGCTTCCTGAGGCGAAAATGTCGACGCAGGCCAGGTCGAGGAGTTGCACGAAGGAGGGGATAAAGACCCCGATGTGGATTGTCTTTTTGTTGAGGGAGGACGTCATGGTTACGGTTCTAGAACTGGTGATAGTTGTAGGTCGTTTTGGGACATGATGATGATGGGTGGTGGATAACTCATGGTTTATATAGGTTTAGCATTCAAGGTGCGAAATCGTCAGCTCCGAGATAAAAACGTCGAAGATGATATATCTCCCGATATCAATCCGGAGAACTCAAGCCGGACGGACCCACCCGGCGCCGGCGCCTGACTTATAAGACAACCGGCTCGAGCTCTGATTGGCCGGATCAGAGTTAACATCCGAATAGCTTCGGCAGCAGCCGCAGCCTCGAAACCGAAATCACGATAAGACATCCGAGTAGCACACGGAAGGGGCTGAAGAGAGTTATGCATCGGCCTACAGACTTCTCATCTGTGAGACATTCTCTCTTCCAACAACGGCCCCCACAACCACAACCACACCACCATCATCATTCATTCATTTCTGTCCGCCTCGCCTCCACACACAAACAAAACATTTCAGAGAGAACTCGTCATCAATCCAGCGGTTTATCAGTCTCTGGACTCAAGCTGCTTTTGGATTCTCAAACACTGTCAAACAACTCGCCCGGCCGCCCGCCCCAGCCACGCACCCCAAAAAAATATTATCTTTTCAAATAAAATAAAATATTTTATATATATATATTTATTTATTTTATCTCGTTTCTTTTTTTTTTTTTTTTCGTCGAGTGACCTCGGCCGGTATAATATCCCAAATCCTATGTACCTACACTAACAATTACTCAGACGGTCTCCTTTTTCACCCCCTCCACACACAACATTCACATCACCACATTGAGCAAAGTAAAAAAAAACAAAAATAAAATAAAAAAACAAGCCCACATAAATTCCAGGCAACCAAAAAAAAAATATTTACCTCCAAAAACAAAATCCCATGCATTACACAAATTCTCCCCTTCCTTTCCCCTTTGTGTGACGCGTAAGCTGCACACATCATCAAATACACAAGTTCCATTATTATTATGTCTTGATCTGATCACATATCCACCCATCCATGCCATAAAAGCCCAACACAAATTGTTCCCAAAAAGGAAAAATGTAACGCTGACTTACAACACCACCCCATGCTCCGGTTTCCGACTCCGTGCCCGTGTCCGCTTCCATCGGAAACGGCATGTTTGCGGGCCGTACCATGCATGCGCATGCGCATGGCAGATCATGGTCATGCTCATGGTCTTCTCCTGACATGGGTAGGAGAACACAAAACCCTGTTGGTAAAAAAAAAAAAAAAAAAAAAAAATGAAAAAAGGCCGTTGCCTAAAAAAGGACGCGTGTGTCAATCAGTATCCTCATTCAATGCTTCTTCATCATTTGGCAGTCGATAATCATCATCGTCGTCATCATCAGTTTACTATACACATCGTGTCTGCTCATCATTGGCTTTGAAAGGTCGGTCCTTCTTTACGTATAGTTTATGAGCCCTTGAGAACAACAATTCGGTCCATATAGAACCACATCAATCAATACCAATTAGCTTGCTTCACTTCCCCCCCAAAAAAGCAATTAAACCCCTTAAAGAACTAAGTCTAGGGATTCTTGTTCATGTTACAAAAAAATAAACTCCCAACGCGCCTATTCCCCTTCCTTTCCCACCCTGACTGAGGATCCTAGTTGTAGTACTCCACCCCGTACGGCGTCTGACCTCTCCGTCCCAGTTTCCCTCCCCAGTGGATGCCTTGCATCCGTCCCGTCCTTCTCATTCTTCTTCTTTTCTATGTACACAAAAAGATTAAATATTAGGGTGTATTTTGGGCTAGAAAAAAGAGAACAAGGAGGAGGATTCGGTAGTGTGTCTTCTCCCAGAGGCCATGACAAACGCGAAAAGATAATTGACGATTTGAAGTGGGCATTAATAAGAATTAAGCAAATGGCCCTAGCCGTCCTTCACCCTTCGCAGGGACCTCCAGAGAAACTCGGCCTCCTTGTCTTGATGACGATGCTCGCTGTTTTATGCTGTCCCAGAAATTGATGGGGCTCGATTCGCATGGCTCTCGCTCTAACTTCCTCATTAGGTATCCGATGCTCCGGTTCTGTTCTTCTGCAGTCCGTTGCTGTAAGCGAATGATGCCAACAATGGCGCGGAGCCTTTCCGTGGCATGGCCTTTGGATCTGGGTCTTCGTGCCGAGTGATGTCTCCTCTCCGCCCTCGCCCCCCTCTTTACCAGGAACTCCGAAAAAATCAACAAAGGAATAAGAAAACCGTAGAAAAAGAAACGTCAAAACAAAACCCATATCTAGTAGATGCCAAATGCGGATGCCGTGCCATGCATATCAACATCATGTACTCTCGATTTACACACTGTTGCGCCTCAGTGGGGAAAAAAGCTCGTTGGCATAAAGAAGAAAACAGGCCAAGGAGGCGGGATCGCGCCCAGCTTTTCGTTCACAGTGGGAAGGTTGTAGCGATTCCGAAAGAAGCGAAAAAGAAAACAGCCGGGATCTCAGGTGGTAGTGCGTCGAGACAGCTCAATAACGAGTCAGTCGTCAAAACGGGGTAAACACCGAGCTCGGAAGAATTGAACGGCGCAACAAAAGCCTAGCTTGTCGAAGCAGGGCATCCATCATCATGTGTGCATTCCATCTTGTCCGTTATACCAATGTATCCGCTGTCAAGGATCTTGCTCTTTTTCGTGTAGCTTTCTTGCTGACGGTGTATACCAAGTCCAGCGTCCAGAAGTGACATATTTGCGCTTGGGCGCACGGGATCGAGCCGAAGATGGGCGCTACCAGTGGCACCATTACGTAGTCGATGATGTTGTTCTTGATCGACCGCCGAGAGAAATGCATGCCTTTGGTGAGACCTGCATCGCTCATTTCCTTCTCGCGAGAGTCGACGCATACTCTGTGAAAGGCCTCGTAAAGACCCAGGTACAATGCAACCTCCATGAAGCCAACAGTGCGTAGGATATTGCAGATTCGCATAATCCAGGCAACCTCATGAACATCTTCAACCCCATCAGTGACCCAGGCGAAAAGTGTCGTTGCAACGACCATGATAGTCATTTGAACAGGCAAAAAATGTGCTTCGAACAGGCGGTGGAACAATACCACGATGCGCTCGTAGTCGGGACCCTTCAAGGTGTCGGTTGTTACATCAGAGAAGATACCGCTCTCCGGTACGGCCTCAGGATCTGCGCTGCTGATTTGCGATTCGGGGACGTAGCCATCAGATGCATCGTTCAAGGAGGTATGAAGAGGTCTCCATGCCCTGGATGTGTGTTTCCTCTCCCTCCAGACCTCAACCACCTTTCTCAGCGCATACCCAGTGTCGAGAGCGCCCCACATGTGTCTCTTTGCCTGCTTGTAGCGAGCCTCAATATCCATCTTGAGGCCACCAAGGCCCTTGCCGAAGCCACCACCGGTGACATTCGTCTGGCTGACAGGACTGAGAACCGTGCGGACCGTCAGATTACCGTTGAGGGCAAAAAAGCACTTGAGATACATGTGCAAATCTTCACCTATTGCCTCAGAATCGCAATCCCAGCCGCCCACGCGGTCAACCAGCTCCAGAGGAACAGAGTACACAGAAGTCGGAGGGGCAACCGAGGAGCCCTTGTAAAGGCCCGACATGCCGGCTGCTGACCAGAGCACATCAGCAACGCGGACAATGGCCGGTACGTTGTGAGCATTGCGATCAAAAATGATGGGGGCGGAATAGAGTGTCGTATTTGCCTTTTCGGGATAGCTTATGTGCATGGTCGTGACAAGCGCGAAATAATTGGTCGAGAGGTGGCTATCAGCTGCATTGATCAATGAGGATTAGCGAAATCCGACTTTGTGTGACAAAACCGGCCCAGGCCGCCTCTGCGGGAACCATACCGTCAATTCCTGTTACGATTACATCTTTTCTTTGTCTAATTAGATATCGCTCGCTGAGCTTGCGCGCTGCCCACGCCATATTGCTGCCCTTGCCGGCCAGCTCGCCGGCAATGTCAGAGGGGTGCATCGTAAAGT